AAAATTATTTAGGGCTCACTATTTCAGTGGTCTCAGTCCATAGATGGCCAATTCCAGTGCTCTGGGCTCAAAGTGGGGCAGGATATCATGGCAGAAGAGCATGACGAAGGAATACAGCTCAGAACATGGTTCCAAGAAGCACTCAACAAGGACAATGTATATGCACACCATATACTCCAAAAGACATTCCCTCAGAGACCCACGCTTATTAGGTTAAGACTGTCACAACCCAATCATTTCACCTTTAAACTTTCCTGCATTTTCTAACACATGAGTTTGGGGGAAAACCCTCATATCTAAATTATAACAGAGCTCCCTATATAACTTTCCTACCTTTCTTTGTGCTATTCTTTTCTTTGTACAAGCCATATCAGCCTCCTTATCTTCCTGGAGTATATCACATTGTTTCCAATCTCAGGGCCTTTTCACATGCTGTTTCTTTTGCCTAGAATTGCTTCTTGCCTATTATTCATTTGGCTCACTGATTTTCATTTTTAAGTTTCACCTGAAAAGTCACTTCCCCTGAGAAGTTTCCTTTATCTATCCAAGCCTAGGGGAGTATATTCCATTGTTATATGTTCTCCCAGCTCTCTAGCATTTCCCTTTTTTAGGTCACACTTCCTGGTAAATATTCATTTAATAGCTATTTTCCATCACACTGTAATTACCAAGAAGTTGGACATTTTATCTGTCTTCTTCACTTCTCTATCTGGAGTGCCTTACAACATGCCTGACTTAGAATAACAGTCAATATATAATTTGTTCAATGAATGAATCTAATCCAGACTCATTTAAGAGATGGAAATATGAAGGTTCAGAAAAGGAAAGGGTTTTGCTCACACAGAGAATCAAGTGTCAGAGAAAAGATTGCAGCTTGGATCTCGTGACTCCTGGCGCAGTTCTTTTTCATACATGAAATCCACTATTGTACTCCTTCCTCCTGTGTGCCTATGGAACAGTCTGGGGCCTGGATTAGACTGTAAATTACTAGCAGGCAGGGTCCACATATTATACACATTCATCTGATACGGTAGCCACTAGCCACATATGGCAATTGAATACTGAAAATGTGACTAGTCCAAATTGAGATGTACTGTGAATTTAAAAAATCTCATTAGTAAATACTTATATTGTTCATAGGTTGAAATAACATTTTGGAAGCGTTGGGACAAGTAAAATACATTATTAAAATTAAATTCACATATGTATTTGAAAAAATTCGAATGTGGCTATTAAAATATTTGTGGCTCATGTTATATTTCTATTAAATTATTGTATATTTCTGCTCTGTTGTATATTTAATTTTCCCCTTGGTTCCAAACAGAGCTTTGTAGCCAGTAGCTTCTCAACACATCCTTGTTGAATAAAGTTGATCTGTAGTTAGTGGGTTAACTGCTGCCACCTTTCTTGTCAATATCACCAGCTTTTCAGGGAGCCTCACAGTGTAACCTCTATCACAAGACTCAGGTGTGCTAGTTCTTCAGTCCTGGCCTGAGGGTGCCCTACATATTGCATTAGCTTTTGGGTTTCCTCTCAGAGGAAGCCCCAGTGCAATCCTATGCAGAGCAATCACCAGGGTTGTGGTGAACATGTGGACACTTGTCTCTTGCACAGGAAGTGGCCATAGCTTTGCAATTGTCCCTGAGGCCTCTTCTTGAAAGGCTTCCAAAAGAAGGTGGGAGTGAGTTAGCTGGGAGATGGAACTCAATGTAAAGGGAGGGGTGCTTCTCAATTTCTTCATGGAGGTAAAAGAAGCTAAGGAATGTGGGGACTTAGAGCCATGAGGACTCCTTCTTTTACTTATGCACTGACTTTCATTTATTCAACTCACAGTTCTGGGGAAATTATTTGCTTCCTTGCCCTGGGAAGACAGTAAGGGATCAAAAACAGTCCTTAATTTTGGCAGGTTTTTTTTTTCCTCCCAGGAGCAATGTGGACACTTTTTTTTTTTTTTTGCTTTGTTTTGAGACTAGAAGAGGGCAAGATACAGAGCAACTAATTTTGCTAGATCTTGCCAGGGAAGGATTTTTAAAGCCAAGGAGCACCATCGTTTCTCTCTATCCTTTAAGATATAGCCAAAATTGTATTCTTCTATGAACCTTTCTAATTTTCAATGCTTCCTTGTCCCTCACTCTGGAATAATCAAGTCTTTCTTATTTACTCTTCTGATGGCACTTTGTTAAATCACTTGTCAGATTCTATAAAGTGACATAGCTCCTTGGGTGCATGCCTATCTGCCTTTCCCCTCTATCCCTCCATTTTATGTGGTGACTGAGGCTTAGACATGCTGTGTATGATTGTTCAAGGTCACAGAGTTAATGAGTTACAAATATGGGTCTATAACCCAGGGGCTATAACCTAAGGTCTAATACACAAGGACTCAGTTTTCTTTCTCCTCCAGCACTGAGTGACTAAATAAATATGTCTACAATGTGTATCCCTAGCATTGTCAGACTGCTTCCCTTGTCAATTCTCTTCCCTTCTCTCTCATTTCCCACCACAAGAATGACCATGGCAGAGAGCATCAAAAATTGGAGACTTCATTGAATTTTAGTTGCTTTAAGCAACAGCTTGGACAATAGTCTTAAAAGAAGAGGCCTCTTTGTGCTATTGTTGCAAACTTGACGCTTTCCAACATGCTCTATGTTTGTGGAATAGAGAGCAACTCCAAGGAACCTAGTAGGTGGAATGATTTGACTCCTAATGTTTTTTCATGTACCTGCTATGGGCTCAAAATAGATACCACTAATGACTCTTTTAGACATTATCTCCAGAAGATTCTTGTCAAAAAGTAGAGTACTGGGCTGGGGTTGTGTCTGAATGGTAGAGTGCTTGCCTAGCATGTGTGAGGCACTGGGTTTGATCCTCAGCACCACATAAAAATAAATAAAAGTAAAGGTATTTTAAAAAATTAGAGTACTTTAATTGATAGGGCAGAAAATGTGTAGGTAGCTGAACTTACCCAATATGGTGTGAGTTGGGAGGAGGGGGTCCCTTCCTAGCAAACTGCCCTCAGGACCATCCTGCTTCCGCCCAAGCTTTAGTCAGAAGCCAAAAAGAAACAGGAACCGAATCTTTCTAGAAACCAGATCTGGTGAAACTGGTCTCAAGGCCTAAGCCAATAAATTATTCTTGTAGAAGGAAATTTTTAGCAGAGTAGTGTGAATGCAAGTGAATCCTTATCCTAGGCTGTCCCCCAGAGCCTTAGGCTCTGTAACCACAGGAAGCTTACAGTGAGTAAAAAGGAATACAAATGGAAGGAATCATAAAGGAACCTGGGAATGTTTGAATTGGAAAGGACACCAAAACCATTTAGTTCAATCTCTAATGGTTAAATGGGAAAGAGCAGAGTTACGACTAGGGCCCAGGGATCCTGACTCCCAGGATGTGGTCTTTTCTTTTGAGCCTGAATTTATAAGATCATATAAATTGTATAATTTTTTCACTGGGGCTCAAGTACTGCCCGTGGCCCAACTTACACAGGGCAGACCAAAGATGTTGGTCTGGGTGGGCACTGCAATCATTGAAGGCTGCCCCCCAAATATCCTGAAAACATTGTAGGACTTTCCCTTCTTATCCTGTGTGTTATTAGAATTCATGATGGAGAGCACCGCATAATGGGAATCCATTGTCTTTCTGACAGTGAATTCAGACTTCCCAGGAATTGAAAATACAAGGCTCTAGAAAAATAACTCAAGTTTCTTCCTATGATCTTCATGTCCCTTACTCAGCCTGAAGGTCACACTTGAATTTAAGGAGTTGATACTATTTTTTTCTTTCTCCATGTCAACTACTTTCCTCTCCCTTTCATGTATCCAATGTGGGAAGAGTAAAAAAAGCTTAACATTTTGAGTCAGACCTTAATGTGGCTGGGTGTGGCTGAGGCAGCTGAGTTGCAAGTTCCAGTCCATCTTTGGCAAGTTTGAGACTAATCATGGCAACTCAGTGAGACTGTGTCTCAAAATAAAGGATAAAAGGCCTGGGAATATAGCTCAGTGGTAAAGCCCCTGAGAGTAAATAGTTTCCTAGAGCCCATATTACAATCCCTGGGAAGTTCCCATTCATGCCAGAAAGATAATGGATCCCCAGTATTGAGGAGAAAGAAAGAAAGATGAAAGAAAGAAAGAAACACTGAGTAGGAATTCTGCCTTCTCCATTATGTCCTAGTTTTGTTTGTTCAGTATATTTCCATGTGACTAGTATGATCACCTGTGAGTAAGGATAACAATATTATTATACCAGAGGGTTATCGAGTTAATGAGATAACATGTAATGCACATAATATGCGCTCTAGTAAATAAATGTAAATTCCCTTTTCTTTCCTTCTGTAAGTGGTCATAGCTGTGCCAGTAGGATCAGTTTTATAAGCATGTGACCTGTGCAGTTTCACAGAGCTCCATCTAAGAAGGAGACCACACTTTGCTTAATATTCTGCTTTCAACAAGCTGAATTCATAATGTTTTTACAAGGGGTCTATCATTTTCGATTTGTACTTGCTCTGCAAATTATGCAGTTGGTTCTATGTATCAAGAGGGAAGTTGGAAGTAAATGGAGTATTCCAGGAGCAGAAGACATTTTGACATAGTAAGAGACCACATGATTTGGAGTCTATAGAAATGGGATAAAATTCTAACTTTGCCACTAACTTGCTTTGTGATATTGGGACTTTTCTTTCATTCTTCATTGGCTAAATTTCTCAGTTTTGACAATGGGAATTTCATTAGATAATGTCACATCTCTGACAGGCCAGAAATCATTCAATTACTCTGGGAAAAACTCCCTGCCCTACAGGCAGAGACTAAGGACAACCAGTCACTTTCTGCTTTCCCTTTCTACAGCATGGACAGCTATTGTCTGTTGGAGGTTGGCAGAGAGTAGGTGGGGCATGGCAGCAGGGACTATTGCTGCAGTAGCAAGCCCTTTCACAATAGCCCTGTTTTGTCATTTTGCATCCAGATTTCCGTTGGCTAACCTCAGCCTTATCTTCCTCATTTCTATTTCCTCTTCAAGGCACCAAGAGCCCTTCAAAACACATGACCTTCCTGCTCACAACATAAAGACCAGTTCCCTCTGGCCTCTACAGTTTGGCTCAGCACCAGGGAACCTGTGTCCTCTCTGAGACCAAGGCACCACACCAGTGACAGGTATAGTATCCATTTGCTCCCTTCTTTAAATTCCCAAGTTGAGGCAGTGTTCATAGCAGCCAAAGGTAGCTTGGATATGCCCATCCCATTTTCCTTATTCCCATCAGGGATTTGGGGTGAAGGGTAAAACAGATAAAGTTTCTATTGATCTTCTATCCTGAAGTTTCCAGTGGTCGAGAGAAGGGGGTGTATTTTCTACAGAAGGATATTTAGGAGACAGTCATATGAAAGGCAAAAGTTCTCTGGAAATCTGACAGTTCTGGTTTTTCATTTACCCAATATTTATCTTTGGGCAAGTCCTTTCTCCAGCCCATGTTTCTTTTGCAAAAAGAGGAGGCTGAGAAAGGTTAAATGGATGCATCTTAAGACTTAGTTTTTATATCCCTTTTTTTGATAATTGCCATTCCTCAATTGATAAAAGAAATGGGAGAGATGCTTGAATATATACTACCAGGCAGGGTTAACACATCCAGGAGGAGAGCTGGTGGTGATCCATATAGTACTCTCTGAGAGTTATGACTCAAAGATGAAGGTCTCTTTTTCCTTTAGTCTTATATTTGATTACTAAAATTTTGGAATTAAACAGACCCATAGAGATTGGGTGTGTATAGAAGAAATTTAAATCCAGAGAGAGGAAGGAAGGAAGGGACTTTCCCAAGGTCACACAAAGAAACTGTAGCAGAGCTGAGACTGGATTCCCAAGCCAGGGCTCTTTCTGCTCTACCCTAGGAGAAATGAGACACCAAGAAGCAGGAGTTGCCTTGTAACTTACCCAGGTGGGCCTCCTTATACTGGATGCAGTTTGGATTTTTTTCCATAATTTTTATTGGTGCATTTTAGTTGTACATAAAGTGGGATTTGTTGTTACATATTTGGACATGCACACAATATAACAATAGAATTTGGCCATTGTCATTTCCAGTATTTCTCCTTTCCCTCCCGCCTTCCCCCTGCCCCCATGCCTTTGCTCTACTAATCTCCCTTCGATTTTCAAAAGATGTCCCCCAAATTTATTTTCATTTTTTTCTTTCTAGATTCCATGTATGAGAGAAAACACAGGACCTTTGACTTTCTGAACTTTGCTTAATTCATTTAGGCAGGGTCCTGCAGACTTCTTTTACTCCACTCCTTTTACAAATTCTTGGTTCACTCTGGGAATTCAGAATTCCTCAGAGCCTACCTACACTTTCTCTTTCAGGCTCATCTTTTCCAATCCCCTTCACCAAAATTGACCTCAATAATAGGGGCTTTGTGGAGCTCTCTAATGGAAAATTTTGCATTTCAGTGGGGACAAATGATGACACTTAAGATAGTATAAATGTACCAACAGATGAACTTTCAGAGTCCCTCCGTATCACCCCATGTAGGTATCCATCTCTTCTTTCTATGAGTCTGGCCAGTCTTTCTCAAGTGAACCTGCTTTTCTTACGAAAACTCAATTGGAGAAGCATGGACTAGAGCAGCAAGAGTAGAAATGAAACCAGTCTAATTCTAGCTCAGCCTCTTAATTTCTTCCATCAATGCTGAGATAATATTGTCCACAAACTGTTCAACTTCCTGTATACCAGGAATCATTAGCCCCTTTCACACTTTTCTTCCAGGTTTCCTGAGGTGAATGAAGTCAGAAGTGGCATTCAGGAAGCTGTGAATATCTCCAGATTATCCAGGTGTTCTCACTGCAGCTGGAACAGAATGGAAGTGATGACAGAAGAAAGATACCAGTCCATTTCTCTCCCCCTGCCACCCCAACTCAAATTCTGGTAATTAGCTTCCTTTGCTAGCTTCCATCCACAGCTCCAATGGCTGAGCCAAAGTCTGATCACATGTAAGAGGCTCTGAAAATCTCACCAAACACTTTCCAACAACCCTGTAAGGTAAGTTTTTTTTTTGGTCCCATTTCTAGAGAAGACAAATGAAGCCCAAAGAAAAACTTGCCCAAGCCACATTGGCTAATTGATGCTCAAGACATTAGAACCTAAGTTTGTCTGATTCTTTTCATGTGCCATATACAGTTACCATGACTGTGGTTGGGCTGAGAGCCACACTTCTGATTGGTTTAGGTTGAATTGGGTAGGTAGAGAAGGAAGTGTGGAGGTAGAAAAGACTGTTTAGATCCTTAGCTTTGAGGTCCCACCCACATATCAGTCTGGAGGGATGTGTCACCCTCTTACATTCCACTAAAATAGTTGTGGAAATATCACTGAGTACTTTCTTGTAGAAAAACTTCTTGGGGCAGTTTTTTTTTAATATTTATTTTTTAGTTGGACACAATAGTTTATTTTGTTTATTTTTATGTGGTGCTGAGGATTGAACCCAGGGCCTCAAACGTGCTAGGCAAGCGTTCTACCGCTGAGCCACAACCCCAGCCCTCTTGGGGCAGTTTTTCATTCCTGGTAATCTTTAGATGTTTGCCACTATTGATGCCAGTATTTAATACAGAACAGTTACTTTCTCATAGATCAACTGCCACTGCTGGGAAGGGCAAGAATTTGACACTGGTAATTTGGCATTTTTAGCAACAGGATCTTGGTTTTGCCAAGGGGATGCTCCAAGAGGTTCCAGGCCTGACTCTGCTCCTGGAAGCTTTCTTTCTTCCCTGGTAGCTCTGCGTTCAAGATCTCAGTGCCATATGGTGATCTCTACTGCCTTTTTTTGCTCTGTTGATGTGGCTCACCTCTTATCCAGAGGGATATATAAAGCAGGGAGGTAAAAGGACCAAGCAGGAAAGTTTGAGGGCACAAGAGTGTGATATAGGACATAACCCCTAACTGCAAGTAACTTATTGTATGACCTTTAGCAAGTCTCTTCCCCAAGATATCCCAGTTCTGTTAAAGCAATTGCTAATAGTTCTTGCTCTAATTCTGGTAGCAGAGCCACGGTTTGAACATTATACACACACACACACACACACACACACTAAGGACTTTACATGCATTATCTTAGGCCGTTCTTAAAGTTACTTTATGAGGTAGGTACTATACATATACATACTTTGTGACTGTGGAAAATAAGAGCTCAGATAGGAAAAATAATGTATCCATGATTGTTGAGCTAGTTAACATTAGAGAGGATTTGAGCCCATTTTTTGTTACTTTAAAAACTTTAATTTCCAATCTTAGAATAACTAATTCATACTTAACATAACAACTTTTACCAATAGAAACATTTTTCCTCACATTACTTGTGTTTGTAACCATTTTTAACCTCAAAGTCTGTGTGCATAAGCAAAACACTGTGAGAATACAGCTTGGGAGTATTGGGAAGAAGTGGGAGCAAGGACACTGACTAGGGGACCTGATCTTTTCCTCTAGTCAAGAAGGCAGAATGATGACCAAATTGTCTCCTTTCTGCTGTGTAGAGGAGCTCACTAAAGCTGGGGACACATAGAAATGTCAGATCTATAGTACTTAGACCAGAGGATCTCCCAGCTAAGCACTCAGGATCTCTTTTCTCGTTAGGAGTCTTCTACCTGTTTTGCTCACTTCTCTATTCTGATGTTGCAGCTGTTCCCTGAAGAGGGACCTCTGCAGTTTTCCTGAGGCTAAAGATGTGACTTCACTAGTGCTTTCTCTCTCTTTCCTTCCAGGGCCACATCCTCCAGGAAGATCTCTGTCACGTGGAAGCCCCTGGCCTGGCCTCCCGCAGTGCCACGCTCCGTGTATTTGACAAGCTGAGTTGGACACTCCGTGTGGTAGAGTGTCAGTTTGTCAAATACCCCAAGTGTGGCACATGCTTAGCAGCTCCACACCAGGGCAGATGGAATACAACATATTTGCTGCCAAGTGGATGTAAGAATGCTCATTAAACAACAAGGTCTCCTAATTTATTTTTTTGTAACTTTGAGGGAACCCAAGCAATGCATCTGAGGGTTTCAGGGGGAAAGTGCAGCATCTCTGGTAATTACAGCCCTGGTTTTCGTCTACACACCTCATGAGAATGCCTAGGAGCACACAATAGTCTTGAAAAGACATAAGGGATACAGGGATAGATGTGCTCTTTGATTTGTTATTCTCTTCTTTCTTCACATTCCCCTTCCAGAGTGTCACAGTCAGGACACCAGAATCAAATACTACAGGTTATATGAGAAAGCTGGGCATGGAAATCCACTCTTTTTATGTTCATTCTTGTCTTCTAAACACAGACTGGCTTTTCTACCTCTTCCTTTTTTCCTCAAACCTCTTCTTGAAACAACTTCTCCATTTCTCTTGGCCTAATTCTTTCCCATACTTCCTGGCCCCACCACAGTATAGTCTCCCCAGGGACTTTTGAAAGTCATCCCATGCTTACCCTTCTTCGCTTGCACAGCACTCCTTGCCTGAGTCCTGTTATATGCCCCAATATCTCATTCCACCCAATATAATCTTTTGGATCATGAGTAAACTTTTCCAAGGCTTACTCTTGAATTCCCCACTATATTTTGAGCTTCTAGAAGACAAGAATATATCTCCTTGGTTGTTGTCTCCCCTACCATAACCCCATATTTTGGTTACGGAAAATATTCAATAAATGTTTGCTGATTGATTGACTTTTTACTTAGTTGATTAGTTTTGGATATTTGTGCCAAGTGTCACCCAGGGTTCTATGAAAAAAACAAACAAACTATGGAAACCACAATTTTATACAGTATATGAGGGAATAGCCAACATGGAGAGCTTTTTCTTCCTGAGAAATGAAGCCAAAGACTGGAGGAAGGGGGAAAACAAAAGGGCAAATAAATTGTAGAATTACTTGAATATACAGATATGTGGTACTTTATTGAAGGATTTTTAAGAGTCCTTAATATTCTAATTTTGCTTTGGGAATCTCCAAGACAGAGATATGGAATGAGGGCTGGGGATATAGCTCAGTTGGTAGAGTGCTTGCCTTGCATGCATAAGGCCCTGGGTTCAATTCCCAGCACCGAGAGAGAGAGAGAGAGAGAGAGAGAGAGAGAGAGAGAGAGAATGAAGCCTTCCCTATGCCTACCTATCCACTGAAATTTTCTTGTTTATTTTTTTTTTTTGGTGGTCTTGGGGATTAAACCTAGGGTTTCATATATACTAGGCAAACATAGGCAAATATCCTGCTACTGAGCTACATCCCCAGTCTTCTTCTTCTTCTTCTTCTTCTTCTTATTATTATTATTATCATTATCATTATTTTAAATATTGAGACAAGATCTCACTGAGTTGCTGAGATTGGCCTAGAACTTGTGATCCTCCTGCCTCAGCCCCCCAAGTAGCTGGGGTTACAGGTATTTGCCACCAAACCCAGTTGTCCAGGGGAACTTTTATTCCCCATGGGATATCTCATGATATTCCATGATATTCTCCTGATACTTCATGTAACAAAAATTGAGGGGGCTGGGGTTATGGCTCAGTGTTAGTGTGCTTGCCTAGCATACATGAGGCACTGGGTTTGATTCTCAGCACCACATACAAATATAAAATAAAGGTCCATAAACAACTAAAAAAAAATTTAAAAATTGAGAAACTTCCCTAGACAAACTTCATACCTTCCTTCCCTTCTAGAGAGCCTTCTTTTCACTCTTCTACTTTCCCTGACCAGACAGCTACCTAAGATAGATCCCATATTGTAATACCTAGGAATCACTTACTGGCTTGTCATATATGGAAAAAGTTTTTAGTATGGGGGCAAATATGAACTCCAGAAGGTGCCTGCTGCAATAAATATATACTTCTAGAAATTTACCTGCCTAACTTGTGGTCTCTGTTCTACCACTGATGTATATGTGTAACTTTAGACAAGTCCCTTTTTTTCTCTGGCCCTCATTTCCTCATCTTTAATATGGGATTATTAGGATCAGTAATCTCCAAGTTCTTTAAGATGAAACTCTGATATATTCCTGAAGTTTCAAAATTCCTATGGGGTTGGGGAGGGGTTCCTGAATTTGTGATTCATTTTACCAGTGGAAATAGAGCAAAGATTGTCTTCTCAACCCCAGCAATTCCTTTCTCTTTAAGGTAGTAGAAAAAGATAATGGGTGTTTTCAAAGGCTGTGGGATCTGTACACTGAGCTGTTTCATGAAGGAAGCTGAGGTTTCCACTGGGTGGGGAGCCCTGTTTCAGAGGCTTATAAGTGTGATGGGGAAGAAGAATTTGCTCCTTTCACCAGCTATGTGAATCAAGTATCTAGGGATGAGGAAAACACTGAGGTTTTGACCATGGACTTGGCAGGTTGCATGGTGGTAAATGGGAGGCCACCTCCTTGTTCACTTTTGTGTACTATTTTGACTTCTGTAATCACCCCACAGGGGAAGCAGCTCTTGCTAAACCTGACCTGACCCTGGAACGAGAAGTAGCAATGTGACAGTTTCAAGAAGAGTAAAATGATTTTGACTTCACATGAAATTACATGGGGAAAAAGAAGCAGTGTAGATATGGCCCAGGACATGCTCTTACAGGAGAGCTTGATTTAAAGGTGCATACACAACACACACACACACACACACACATACACACACACACTTAGTCCCATTCCTGCTTGAGAAAGACTTCAATGCTTTTACCTCCACTCCACATTATAAGAAGGGGCCAGGAGCTACTGAAAATGACCCATGCAAAATATAAATACCCCCATATTTTAGGATTTAAAGAAGTAGAAATCCTTAGGGATGATATAAACATACTTTGGAAAGAAGGCAATCCTTTTATCTCTCCATCCATAGTTCCCTGATAAAGAAGTAAAGCTCTTTCTTTGTCAAAATTTCAGTTGACTCAGGAAAAGTCATTCAGGTAGAGCTGACAGGATGACAAGAATGGGAATGGAAACCAGTAGAGTCCTGTTTAACCAAAGATTCACTGTGCCCCAGCTGGGGCTATCTGTTGAGTAAAATAGGAGTGGCATGATGGGAGGGAAGATCAAAAATACAAAGTTGTAACCTGTAATCCCAGAGGCCAGGCTCCAACCATTTTGATCACTCTTGTTAGTTAGTACCATACCTTGAGAGAACAACACAACTGAGGTTGCTATCATGATTATATTTATTGAGCACCAAAGGAATACCAAAGCACTAGACTCACAGGGCAAGAGCAGAACTGAACCCCAGCCTGTGACATGACAATCTCAATTAAAAGCTGTCTATCCCTGGAGAAAGGGCAGTGATCCTGGATGCAACTCCTTCTCCGAGCTGTCAGTGTTGGGCCTCCTTTGGTCTTCTGGTGGTATCTGGAGACATGATGACCAAGTCCTAGTGCTGGCGTTTCACTGGTGTTTGGAGAAGAGCAATGGAAAACCCAGGCAGAGATACTAGAAGGGCTCAGGGCCAAACTCAACAGCTAGCGTTCTTGAGACGCATATGGCTAATTCTTAGGCAAACCAGTCACTCTCAGGAGCCGCAACATTGGCAGGAAAGACACTTTGGACTATCCAGGAAGAGAAGTAGCAGAGAAGGGGGGCATGCAGAAGGCAGGGACTGAATACTGAATAGTTAATTATGTCAACAGAATTTGACCTAGTAGGGGATTGTTAGCAGACACTCTTAACCTCAGTGCCCAGAATCTCATAATCCAGGGGAACTGTGTGCAGCAAGCGGGCATAGTCACCATTGATCTGGGCGATGATCTGGTACTCCTGGCCCAGGCAGGGATCGTCAGAGTAGTTGTTGTCCAGAGCCCGGGGAGCTGGCTCATCACTGGAACAGCCACTGGTGTAGATGGCCACTCTCATGGTTTCTCCAGAGTCACTGGCCTCACTGGAAGGCATCCTAAAGTCCAAGAGTCCACCTTCCATGAGAAGTGACTTGGAGCTTACACCCTGGTTTCTCACCCATCTGCCTCAGTTCTTACCAACTGACTCTGAGGCTCTTGCCACCTAAGAATTCTAGGGGCAGAAGGCTGGTAGGTCTAAATCATCTTGTGCTTTCAGTGAGCTAGGGCAGAACCTCAGAAGGTGCCTCAGAGAGGATATAAAGGTGTGTCCTGTCACTGAAGGACATTGGTGTTAAGACTAGCTCTATCTTTGGCACACATCCCACCTTCCTCCATATTGCCTGTCAATGACCAACAGAACTGAGGACAGGGAAGAGGTTATAGGATGTAAAAGGAGATGCTATCTTACCTGCTCACTTCATAGACATGCTCTAGAAAAGAAAGAGGAATCAGGTCAGAAATTTCTATGGACAAGTAACAAGAGTCAAGCATGGACTCTGGATACCAGTCAAAAAATGAGGGAAGGGAACAGAGGGGGATTTCTATGTTTCAGATTTCCAACTAGGGGAGGTATTGGGGAGATACATTGAAGCACAAGGATGCAGATTTGTCAGATAAAGGAAGGGGAAGCATGCTTGATCACTGTTCTATTTGGCATCTCTGACTCAGGATATTGGACTGGAGTTGTTGCTTGGTGTGGGTGGGGGAAGATCATTGGGACTCGACAGGCTCTCCACCCAAGAATCTCAGAGTCCTTGTGGGAAACTTGACTTCTGGGCCACAGCCCAGGAAGAAGGGGCTGGATTAGTTTGATGTCAGGGACTATGACCCAAGCCACTCCCAAGTGCACTCACCCCCATCCCATACCCTAGAAAGGCCCTAGAATAGGTAACCATTGCCCCCTAGTGTCTGTGGAGGGAAATTTCCCTATATTCCACACAGGCTCAAAGGCTTAGCTTGGTACAAAGATGGATATCTCTTGATACTACCCTCTACATGCTTATAATTTTCAGGGGAACAACTGGGAATGCATGCATTCAAAAACAACAAATAAGTAAACAAACAGGGTAAGACTAGAGCCTTCTGCCTTTCAGTAAAGCCTTAACATTTCCATGTCCTACTTCCCCCATTGGCATGGGCACTCAGCACCATAGGGGTTGTGTCTTTTTTTATTTTATACTCCCAGAATCTGGCACACAGTAGGTGTCAGTAACTATATTTTAAATTGAATTGATACACTGAGGATGTCTCCCTTATAGAGAGGTAGAAAACAGGCATTCTGGGAAGGCAAACAAAGAAGGGGAAAAAGCATAAAGGTATGAAGATTACGGCCTATTTGTTTGACTTCATGAGGATAGGTAAAAGGGAATGGTGCATGCTGAAAAGACAGGCTAGAGGCATATCACAGAGGGTCTTGAATATAATTTTACATTTTGACTTCTATCCCCTTAGCACTGAAGAGCCATGCAACATTTTGAGAAAGAAACAGGCTAATGTGGTTACTATTTATGCCCAGCCTCATCAAGACTATGATGAATACTTTCCTTTTAGTGCTCCTTGGGTTGTGGCTCTTGGGATTTGAGGTATCTCCACTCCCATGTTTATCCTCAAGGGTCACAGCCATGCTTACTGGCCAAGACCAGTACACTTGAGATCCAGAGAATGAGATATTCAGGTCTCCCTTCATTTTTGTTTAAAGAGATGCAGGATAGAAAGCAGGCTGTTTGTAAGTAAGGGATAATGCAGAGAAAGAGAGAAACTAATCCTAATGAATATTGGGTCAGGTCCATAATACAGCAGGCATTAAGTTCTACCTAGGTTTTTCTTATAAACAAATATTGTAATTCTCTTTGTCCTTCTCAGCTGGCCCATTGT